CCTAAAAGAAGTGCAGAGTGAGTAGAATATCAGATTGGAGGGTTCAGGGTATCTCGACTTTTTTTCCTACTTGCTTAAAATGGATTTTGTAAGACAGCAACTATCCAATAATTTTTGATGTATTTTACTATTTTTTTTTTATTTTTATTATTATTTTTTTTTTTTTTTAGATGCTTGTAAGTAGTTTTAAGATCTATCCGTTTGCACCCTGCACTATGGGTAAAAATCTCTAATTTTTGGCATTAATTGTCTCTGAAGTGTAAGAAGCTTGAAATTTTGTATACATATTAATACGAATTTTGATCGTTTCAGAATTTTTATTTTTAAAATAGAGCCACGCCCCCACCCCTCGCTTATAGCATCCATCCTGTTATTGCAACGAAAATTTTTAGCCCCAGACAAGCTTTTATGGGCTAACCGTGAATATTAATTTAGTCGTCCTTTTCTTATTCTAACTCAATATAATTGATTCCATATTTCTTTTCATAGGTGTCTTCAGTATCATCTTCATCTTCTTCGCTTTTGGTTGAACTAGCAATTCTTCCAAATGTTTCAGGAGGTTTGAAACTATATGCCTCTTAAAGTGCCATATATTCTGTACGCATTTCTTATTTTCTCATTCGGCGACCTCGTTCTTTCAAACTGAGACTAGAAACAAGTGGGTCTGATGAGTCCAGTGCTTTATTGAATACGAATGAAGCTAACAAAACAAAATCAATTTTTCGATAAGTTATCAGATGAGCTATCGAAAAAATATGATAAGCTCGTATTGCGTATATTCAAAATCTTCTTCTATAAAACGGCTGAGTTTATTCTTAGGGACGGAAGAACATAGCTAGACCAATTCTGCTCATTGTCCTGATCCAATTTGACACAAAGTGTTTTCACGTGGGCAAAAAATTATATTTTTCTTTTTTAACATTAAACAAGTAAGAAAGCTCTAGTCGAGACTGCTCGACTATGAGAGCCCCTAAACCCTTCAAGCAAATGATATTTCCATAATAATTCGCACACACCCAGGCGAATGCGCTTGGGTTGCGCTGCAGTGTTGGTAATATTATGAGAATTTATTTGTTGAATAATTTCATTTCTAGACGTACAATCTTAATGAAATTTTCAGAACGTAATTGTAATGTTAAAATGTATGTTTATTCCGAAGTACAAGTCTCTTGTATTTGAAATACGCCTTTTACAAATATGAGAGTGAGGGGGTGGATAGTAAAAATTAACGAAATTCTATAAAATGCGTCTTAATATGTATTTAAAATTTGGAGACTCTAGATGTAAGAGATATAATTTTATAACTGATTTTCCCATTTTCAATGGGTTCAGGGTATAAAAACGAACTGAACAGCGTGTTAATGAATTTAAAGCAAATAAAATTGTATAATTAAAATAAACACATACATATGTATGTATGTACATATTTATTCAGATGAAGTGCCAAAAATTAATTAATTTTGCTCTGAAATAAGCAAACAAATGCAAAAGCAACAAGTAAGAAAGCTCTAATCGAGATCCCCGAACACACACACACACACACGCATATACATAAGCGACTGCGCATGGGCTGCGCTGCAGTGTTGGCAATATTAGGAAAATTTATTTAATGAATAATTTAATTTCTAGACGTACTATCTTAATGAAATTTTCATAATAATCATATGTATGTATATTCCGTACCACAAGTCCCTAGTACTTGAAATACGTCTTTTAGGGGACGAGGGGTTGGATATAGGGATATAGGGGTGAGGGGTAAATTTTAGCAAAAATCAAAATTGTATAAAATGCATCGTAATATATATTTTAAATTTGGTGAAAGATGTAGGAGATATAATTAAATAACGAGCTTTCGATAAGGATGTTAATAGATAATAAAAAATTGGGAGAAGTTATCGATTTTTAGTGATAAGCTCGATATGCGCGTGATATACACGGACCTGGGAAAAAATTTCAAGTCTCTAGCTCTTATATCTTCTGAAATCGACGCGTTAATACATATGGACGGACGAACAGACGGACAGGGCTACATCGACTCAGCCCTGATCAAAAATATATATACTTTTTGGGGTCTGCCACGCCTCCTTCTGCCTGTTACATACTTTTAACAAAGCCATTATACCCATTTCCCATTTTCAATGGGCTCAGGGTATAAAAACGTGGCTTCTGCGCGTCATTTACTGGTGTTTTCAATATTAAGTAGGAACAGAAAGAATGATATTCAGAAAAGCAAGAATTTATTTGAGCGCACAGCTGACTAAATCATTTTACAGACTATCACCACCTAAATTTGTCGTCGAACTAACGCGTGTTAGAACGCGAGGCGCATTAGCGTTGCATCCCTCCCAGTTAGGTGTAGCTACACTTGGTGCGGCTCTGGCACCTGCAGTTGATGCTGAAGACGCTCCTGCTGCCATGAGTCGGCGTCATTGATTTGCGAAATCTTCTCGAAACTGTTTCCCATTCTGTATTGACTTACACATGGATGTACATATGCTCATATATACATATAAAGCGTGTGTAGGTATTTTTAATTTACCATTACAATGGTAAATGCTTTGTCTTTGTTAAAAGTATGCTATAGACAAAATGTGCATGGTTTTTATTTAAAGTAAACACAAATTGACAATGAGAAATGGAAACGGCTGCTGCTGCTCCTGTCATTTGCCCCAAGAAGTTGTCAAAGTTAGGGTCAACGAAAAAAAACAAATGCAGCAGGCGGCAACTTATTGATTTTGCGCAGTATTTAGATTTAATAGAGTGGAGTTATACGAGGCCTGATAAATGTAAATTTTTGTACTTAGTAAATAAGGCTAGAACTTTCGATTGCTACATACATTGCCATCGTGGCCCAGATAGAAGCCAACGCGGTGCGAATGCGACGACAGCGGCTGTTGCGTATGCGGATTTTGCTGTTGGTGAAGCTGCTGAGCGGCTACGACGTTGCTTTGCGAGGACTGACGTAGGTCCTGGTAACCCGACTCCAACTCCGTATATGACATATCAATTCCCCTTTTAAATGTTCCTAGTAATGTTGTTGCTGCGTTAGTTTAGCGGCTAGTGTTGATATATGCAAAAAACGGCGAAAGCGCACAAATATACATATGTATATGGGTCTACGAGTACCGGAAGCGAGTGTTGAATGCAAATGCGTAATCAAATCGCGGTTTATATCTTCAAAAAATTCACTTCGCATATATATATATATATATATATATATATATATATATATATATATATATATATATAAATATATATATATATATATATATATATATATATATATATATATATATATATATGTGTCAACAAAAGGAAATAGCTATAGACTAAATAAAACCGCAGGCATCTTCATCCGCGAACGCGCTTGTATTTCTATAAGAACTATCCGTATTACGAAAGACCCAAATGGAGGGCCACTGGACATGCTGATGCGTCGCATGAATACCTTAGCAATAGAGATGTGATACCATCAATGGAATCATCGATAGTATCATTTAAATTTGTAGTTCGCGATAAATCTATTGAAATTTCTCGATGTCGATATATTAGCAATTTTCGTTGTGAGTGGCTGAAATCACTAACACCACTAACCAGAGAACACATAGACCGTACCAGTGTTGCCGTTTTTCACCGAGCAAAAGCAGCTGATTTAAGACAAAAAATAAGCTCCATCCCAGAAACAACATATGCTAACATATAAGAATGGTTTTATCTTTATTACCGATATACATACATACAAATATTGTATCGTCAAATCTGTCACGTCAAATCTGTCACGTCCTTTCTCAACCACTCCTTGAATTCCGAGCTCTCTAGATAGGCGTTTTTAACTTTTTGTTTATAATATTTAGGCATTTTTAAAATCAGCTAATCTATAGCACCATCATATGTTAGATAGAGATGGAATTACTGCGGAACTAGTGATGTGAGACTTTAGTAGTTGCAAAAATGTGAGTTTGTTGATTAATCGGTCATTGAGAACTAAAATCAGATATTAAAAAATATAAAAGGCTGTTTTGATTCTTAAATATGCCAGATTTTCCGCAATCCGAAATTGCCAAAGTTTGTTTGCAATCGCAGTTGAAAATAAGCTAGATCTGGCGAAAATTAGCCAAAACGGCAACACTCGACCGGACACGTAGTGAAATTCAAATTTTCCGCCGACTTTGCAATGTATGGCTAGTAGGTATACGAAAAACATTGGAGCAGTCCATAGTTTTCCACATACAAAAATGACTGTTGCTTCCTCTCTCTTTCCTGTTGCTCGATCAACTATCGATAATTATGTGTAAGTAAAGCGTAAGAAACTGCAATTTTTTCTTTCATAACGGGCAATGGACGTATTCTCCCATAAAAACTTCATAAAGGCAAAGATATCATAAAAAAATAAGAAATGTTGCGCACTTGGTTGCTGCCACAGTTGCCTCTAATTTCAGTGTGCAAACGCGCCAAGGGGAATAACGCCGCCAGAACAAATGCAACGAGGCAGAGCAACATTATGAGTAAACTCTTTGGTAGCCGTGTGACAGGCACAAAGAAGCAGTGGTATCCCTGCCATGATACCAACGTCAACAGCTCTAACGGCAAAATCAGCAGCGGCTCTTTCCCATCGGCGAGTGTGATGTTTCAGGCATCACAGTTTGGCAAGAGCAAGCTCCCCGGCTCTAGGAACAACACGAGACGAATGGCTGTACTAAACAAACTGTTCATGACCCACATCACCGACCTACTGGCTACGGGGCAGGCCGCGGAGTCAATACTGGGACGTGGACTACAGGTGTCGCGTGTAAAAATCTCCTGTGATTTCAGCTGCATTAATGTCTATTGGCTGGGCAGCGATATTTCGCTGGAAGCGGAGCTACAACGCTGCAGCGGGCAGCTTCGCCACGAGCTCTCTCAGCTGCGGCTCATGGGTGAGGTGCCGCGTCTCAAATTCGTGCCGGACAAAAGTGGCAGCAACATCAATAATGTGGAAGGAATTCTGCGCACACTCAATTTAAACAAGCCGGCTGAGTATGAATCTAATGACCAGGGCAAGCACGTGGAGCAACAGCTACAACACAACTTCGATGCCGCCCAGACAATGCGTCAGGAGTTTTATGGTAAAGCTGCAACGCTCTCGCCGACAGCGGAGCTTCCCAAGATGCGACACGATGTGCTCGGCCTGGATCATCGCCTCATCATGAACAAGATTCTGCTCAAAATGCGCAAATCAAAGACCGCTTGGGCGCAGCACCAACAATTAGATCGACATAAGCCGATTCCGGAGCTGGCACGCATGCAACATAAACTACCCGAGGTTGAGGCGAACGTGGTCACATCCAAGAGTAACCAGTTTGCAGAATTTCTAGCTAAGCGACGAGAACGTAAGCAAACGCCTGAGCGCAAGAAGCATAAACGGGATTTAGAGGATTACGTAGCCGAAACAACAACGGACGAAGATAATGTACAGGGGATGACGCCAGATCAGCGCCAAATATATACTTAGGACGATTACATTCTCGATGGCCCCAAGAACTACTGTTACTGAACTACTAGACCTTAATTTTCGTTGTTTTTCTTAGTATGTGCATATGACCACCTCAGTCAATATAACCTAACCTATAACCGCCTGCTTGTCTATATATGTAAATAAATATCTCAGAACCTATGAGCTAGAGACTTGTCACATGTATCTTTCTAGCAGTTCAAAATTTGTCTGAATTCCTTTAAATGATTCATTCAGCTGATAATATATTCAATTATCATAAATTGCATTGAATATTACAATCTGACAACTTCATTGAAGAATTTTGAATGACACAGAAGTCCACGACTTAACTAACTTAACTTGTGGTACGTACATATATACATATTTTAAATCAGAATTGTTAGAGCGAATTGAGTTCTTCCTTTATGCATGTACTATGTACGACGTTTTCCAACCGTTCTTTCATTAGTGTCAATTTCTAAAAAAAAAAAAAAAAAAAAAAAAAACGATCATTTTGCGGGAATGCGGCGATAAGCTATTATTTTTCTTATATGAAATATACTATATTTAATTATATCGATAGTTATTTATTACATGTCCTTCATACGTTAAAAATAAAATCAGATTGGAAATTAAAGGCTATGTCTCAAAATGGCTGGCGTTGCATGTTACAAGCTACACAGTTATACATATCATCAATCAGTCAATCGATGGCGACGCCTGCGTCACTAAATTACTGATTATTTGCAGACTTTAGACAACGTTTGCTTCAGTTTGTGCTCATCTGCTCCAATGACTCGACCAATTTTTCGATTGTTCTTGATGAACACAAATGTTGGCATGCTGCGCACTTTGTAGGTTTCCACCAAATCCTCGAATCGGTCCACATTGATCTTAATTACATCCACCTTGTTAACGTACTGGCGCGCAAGTGCTTTCACCACCTTGTCAATGTCCTTACAAGGAGCGCACCATGTGGCATAAAAATCCAGAACAATGACTTTATGTTCGGCCGCCTCGAAGCGTTTGTGGAACTCAGACATATTGCGGATCGCAGTCATTTTTTTTTTTTAACAAAAAACAAAATGGCAGTGAAAAAAAAAAAACAAGATATTGCAAAAATTCGACTTGAAGGAATGAACAGAGCTCAGAGACTGTAGCTATTCTGGCAATCTAGACTTCCATTCCCGCACATTTGTAGAGTTTACGCGGATAAGCGGTTCAGTAGAGATCCAACGGTAGTTATCCAGAATTGAAGCGTTGCCATCTGTTATCATGATTACCGCGCGCGTACACATATTTTGGCTGAAAGACCAAGGATGCGCATAATTACAACATGAAACTCTGCCTTAAGGAAACAATTGTACACTTTTTTGACTAGAAGATCCGAGACTAAAAGTCTTTCTTATTAATTTGAACAAGGATAGACGAAGTCTCTATTAAGTTTTTTAAATAACCTATCTGTGTATAATATACATATGTATATGTACGTACAGCTGCGGTTTTTAAAATAAGAGTGCAACTGAGTACTAATATGTTGATTGGTGACCATCTTAATACTGACATCTAATTGGACTGAATAAATCCCATATACTTAATTACCTTCCTTCCTTGTAATACTCTTTTTCTCTACACATATACAAGATACACTGCAAACAAATGAAAAAAACAATTTCAGCTGCATCGAAATTGGGTACGTTGCGCTTTCAATGATTCTCCGCGAGCTGGGTCTGTTGTATCAGCAACTGAGGCTCAAAGTTCTAGCTCACGAGAAATTAGAGATTTAATTGAAAAATAAAGTAAAGGAATAAGTGTACATATTCCTTTCACATAGATTAAAACGAAAAAAAAAAAAAAACAAATACACATATTGTACGTATATAAAGCGTAGACACTGCAAATTTTTATTTCATAGAAATAAACGTTTTAAGGTTTCCTTTGTTTTGTTTTTTTTTTTTTATATATATTTGTCGGGTGGTATTAACAAGTTTTAAACGTCATTTTAAGCAATGTGTGTCACTGTGTATACCAGACGATGATTGTGGTGCCCAGTTGATCTGTAAAGATAAAAAGGCATTAACAATTTTTTAAACAGTTCCAACAGTTTTTTGAAGATAGCGAAGAGAACTTTAATGGGAGCGGGATGTCAAATAAATCAGTGAAACTTTGATGGCATCAACGTTTGTGATCAGTCGAAAGATGGTTAAGGTTCGGTTCATCAGATATTTGCCCATCCCTCCAGGTTTTTTTTTTATATATATTTGTATATACATATGTACGTCTTACCTTAAATTCCGCTGTTTTACATGTTTTACGCAGTATATACGTATGTTGAAAGTATTGAGCTTATTCGAAGAGAGCGAAGCCCATATCGTCATCTTCAGACTCAGACTCCTCCTTCTTCTCTTCTTTCTTGGCTTCCTTCTTATCGCCACCAGCAGCAGCCGCTGGAGCACCAGCTGCGGGTGCAGCAGCAGAACTACCACCACCGCCTACGGGCATGGATGACAGCTTTTCACGACCGTCCTTGATCAAATCGTCTATGCTCTTGCCCTTCAGCTCCTTAATGACACGGGTCAGACGCTCGGCGTCTGCCTCAATACCGACAGAGCTGAGAATTTTCTCCAGATCAGCATTGGCAGGGCTATCTTGTCCACCGAGAACAGCCAACAGGTATGCAGCCACGTAACGCATGCTAAGAAAGTATAAACATGTCACAATATTAATCTTCTTATATATATGGCATCACTTGCGCTTTTCATTTATTTATCTTATTTACTAATTTGTATAAAGTAATATCATACTTTAGAAGACCTCTTACTTTAAGTCTTTAGTTTTTGACACGAAACGTGAAATGCACAGCAAAATACAACTTTCGCCCAAGAGACCTTTAAACGAAAAGAACCTGGCAACGTTTTGACGCAACAAAGTCACTTCCGTTTGACAAAACTGGCAGTTGACAAGGAATGCAACCCTGTTGCTTGAAGTAGATGGCGCTTTAGTCTCAGAGTTGCATATAAATATTCGATTCCATGTTTTATGGTTAGTGGTCGTATCTTAGTGGTTATCAGGATTGAGTGATAGTGGGCTTAGAAAAGTGGTCTGTTAAGTTAATGGTGTGATGCCACTTATCAATTAATTGCGTAAATTAAGCAATTTCGACACTATACACTAAAAATACAAGCAAACTTTCAGATCGTGACTATTATTTAAAAATCTGAAATTACCAAAGCAGGCTTTAAAATATGTTTTCACATATTCATATAATGATGAGGGAGGGGCATCTTATGACGAAAATCGAAGTTCTATAAATATAATCGAGTCTATAAAGGAGACTATAAGGTGTGGGAAATATAATTAACTTATTTTCGATAAGATTTTTAATCGATAAGAAATTTCGGGATGAGCTATTAATATTTGAGGTAAACTCAATATTCGCGCTGGTCTGCCACGCCTCTTTCTGTTTGTTACACACATTGTATATGTATTTAATTTTGATGGTTTGGTGCATTTGCCGGATTTTTGGATAAATACCCGCCAAGATTCAGCTGGGATAACGGATTACAGTCCTAAATGTGACGTCACATCAAAGCTGTCAGTTAACATTAAATGTAGCCTTCTATGTGAAGTAACATAACTATATTATGTGAACAGCAGGGATGCCAACCCTCTGTCTTTTTACGTAGATCTCCGTATTTTAAAGGAGATCTAAGTGCCTACGTGTGATGAGACTAAAACTACGTACTTTTATAAAATATTGCAAAATAAAAACTAAAAAATTTTTCAAATAAAAAGGATGATATGATTTATATTGGGTTAGCAGCACTAAATTCCGATATGTTTACGAAACTTAGAGCCTTCTGACAAACACCTAAAATATTTTAATCAAAACATGTATAAAGTTTTGTAAAACGTACATTAATTAATATGTATAATTTGAACAATGTAATTTGCTTTCTAAAGCGGCAAATGAAATTAATAACAACGAAGTGTTATACAGTTAGTTTAAAAATGTAATGGTTTATTTTTTTGTTATTGTTTTTAAACCTTAAAAAAAAGTACGTAGATCTACGTATTTCAGCAAAATTGTGCTACGGAAAAACACGTAATTCTCAAATTTTGACTTGGCATCCCTGGTGAACAGATGCATTTCGATAACATTGCAGGCAGGCCCTAAAATTAAAATGTCATCGATAATCTAGAAGCAAAACTAAAGCCGGACGAGGCTGACGTGTGACACTCGGTGCGCGAAATTTACTTTTCTGATTTTGCGTTAACGCCTTGTGTGTGTGTTCAGTTTTTTTTTTTATTTGATTGGTCATCATCGTTGCTTCTGCTTGCGGCTTGATTCTTTGGCCATTGCCAAAAGATATAAAGATAAATTGTGGCTGTGTGTGTACTAATACGCACACTTTTACGAAAGCCCTCAACAGCGAAGCAATGGAAGCCGTTAAAATCTCGTAGTTGTAAATAAAATAGAATTCTGAACAATTGCCGCGTGTTCAATAAGCAAAGCAAGTGATCCAAATGCAACGTACCTGGACATTGGAATAATTTTTACTATAAACATAATTAAATATAAGCCGAACATTTTAACGTAGCCAACAAGGGACCGTAGAAAGAATCGCAATTGCAGTGCAGGTCAAACTGTAAATGGCTTCGAAATCGATCGACAAAAAATGAACATTAAATAAAAACCTACCACGAATCGTTCGCCTCGTTGCGCTTGTTTCCGAATACTCGCAACCATCCCCCATATTTTGGTGGCAGCAGACGCAGCAACGTCTCAGTCGCCACGCAGCAAATAGACGAGAAATTTAGAAGCAGCGCAACCGCCTTCAGTCGTCAGCGTTGCCGTTTCTCGCTCTTCGTGCGGTGTGTGCATGCGTTCGTTTTTATCCCTCTGTGTGGTTGTGCGTATGCGTAGCTGTGTGTGTACGTGCACATAAGGTGTGGTGTGTATACCAAATCGATTGAATAAACGCCACAGTCGTCGACATCGACGACGCAGCCTCCGTTACGCGATTGTCGACGTATTTTTTTTGTGCAGAATTTTCAATTGCTGATTGTTAATTCGCTTTATTTTGTTTTGTATATTCTTCCTGGCCAATTGAGTCTGTTGTTTTTTGTTTGTTTTTGTTGCGTGAAAGAGATATATTTGTTCAACAATGGATAAATCAACCACAACGAACACGACAAATGCGAAAGATGCAATGGACGCCACTGTTAAAAACGAGCCAGTAGCAACAAATGGGGCAGGGTGTGGCAGTAGTGGAACCATCAGCAACAACAACATTGGTAACAGCAGCATCAACAACAACAATAACAAAAAGAGCAGTGACAATAACAGCAACAATGCTGGCAGGCAAGCGTTCTCGCAGCCTGCGGCGATGGCAGCCGCAATTGCCACAACAAGTGCGTTGCTCAGCAGTACCAACAGCTCGACCACACTTGCCAGCAGAACTGGGTTGGTAACGGGAACTGGAACGGAACGTAATAATATGATGATTAACCTCAATATCAGTACGACAACTGGTGGCAATTTCAGCGTCAGCGTCGAGCCACACATTAGCATTGAAAGCTTGAAAAAGATTATAGCCAAGAAACTGAAAGTGGCCAAGGATCGCATATGTTTGCTGCATCGCGAAAAGTGAGTATTGCATATATGTACATACATTCATATACTGTTAAAATGTCTTTGTTGTGATCTTGCTGCTGTGGGTGTCCCAGAAGGGAATCGCCATAGATTATTTATAGGTGAACGTATATATACATCTATCTGTTCATGTCTACGTATAGCTATAGCTATAATTAGCTATAATTACGTTATTAACGAAAATACGCATGTATATTGTGTTATGTATGACGTTTCTCTCTCTCCCCTCATTGATCAAATTTTGGCTGCTCAGAGGCGTGGTATGGCGCGCGGTTGGTGCAAGCTGTTGCTAAAATCAATGATGCAACATTTTTACTACCTCAAAGTGAACAGCAACAGTAGTTTTTCCCGAGTATCTTGACACTGTTTCTTCTCTTCCGTTTTTTCTCTTCTCTTTACTTCAAGTTGAATCTGCACGTGTTCCATTAAGAGCTAAGAGAGAAGAGCGCATGCACTAAAATGCATACATATATACACCGTGCTGATGTACATACATATGTATGTGTTTACAATTCTGTTTCACAAAGCATTGTTTATATCAATGAGAGGCCGGTTTTAGGTTTTGTTGCGAAGAATTCGATGCGATAATGTATTGTTCCATTTTGTTAAAACGACAAAAATGAAAAAACAATGTTTTCATGTAATTTTATTAACAATTATTTATTGAAAAAATAAGTAATTGTGGGCAGTGTTGGATACAACTAGTTGCATTACAGCAGCAGTATGTCGTCAGCATTAACGGTGTATTTAAAAAAATTTAGGGCTCGCAGCAAACCAAACGAACATCAAAGAAAAGAAGGAAAGAAGGGAGAAAAATGAAAACAAAACCCGAACACTTGGCTTGCTTATTACGGCCTCTGCTCTCTCTCTCTCTCTCTCTCTCTCTATGTCTCTCTCTCCCTCTCCTTCTGTGTCTATTTCCCCGTCTTTCTGTGTCTATATCTCCCTCTTACGCGTTGTATGTATGCAGAGCAGGTCTTGCTGCAGGTTAACAGTTAAACTACACTGAATGCGTGCTGTAGGCAGGGCGAATACAGTTAAAGGGCTTCCAAAAAATAGTGGTGAATATCGAGCCGAAGTGAATGCAATTGCAACCCAAACAATTCAACTTTTGTTTGTTTGGCTTTTTTTTTTTTAGATTTTCTTATTGTTGCTGCTTAAAAAACTGTACTTGAGGCAGTGCGAAATTTGAGGTTATGCATAAAATTTAGTAGTATTTTTCGCTTTGTTGCCTCTCTTTTGCAGGTTTGCGCCTCTCACTTTGCGTCATTCTAAAAAAAAAAAGAAAATAAAATAAATTTAAAACAACCCGACTGATAAGAAATTTGTTCTTAGTCATTTCTTTGTTTCTGCTTTAGCTGTTTATTCAGTAGCTGCATCTGTTTTTTGTCGCTTGCCGATTCGCTGCAAGTATGCAAACTGCAACAACTCACTTTGATCCCACTTAAAGTTATTTTGCTTTGTTGTATTGCTTACGTCGGTTAATTTTCGTTGGCTATTGGCTTGAAAATTATGCTGCCGACGTTACGACGTTGACGACATTTGTTGCGCAGCATACATGCATATGTATG